GAATCCATCGGTGCCTCGATTGCCGCCGTTCTCAGCCAAGCCGGAGCAGAGGCCACCAGGCTCTGGGGTGCGGCCACAAGCAGCGGGTGAGGGTGACCCATGGGGACCCCAAAGTGCTCATCCAGCCTCCCCCCTTCCCCCCCTCCCCTCTCCAGCACCACGGACTAATCCTGAGCTGGGGGAAAATCCTCTCTCCTTCCTTCCCCCCCCAGCCCCAGACGGACTGAGCCTGGTTTTGCCGGCACTAATCCTGTCCCTGCCTGTCCCTGCCCGCCCTGTCCCTGCTCCTGTCGCCCCCATCGGGGTCTCCTCCACCAAGGAGCCCCCCAAGACCCATCTCCCCCCACCCCAGCGCCGCGGGTGCCCTTCCCTCCATGCCTCAGTTTCCCCATCTCCCAAATCCAGCTGCTCCGCGGCAAGAAGGGGCAGATTTGGGTGCTGTGGGGCAAAAAAGGGGGACACAACCTCCCCCAGGGGCTGTCTGGCCGGGGATTTATCCAAAAAAGCCACCTCCACCATCACCATCTCCCAGCATCGCTTCCCACCACCTCACCCGGCTCGAGCCGGAGGGAGCCGCCGATTTTTAATAATTAATTCCCCCTCCCTCACGCTAATTTCTGGCGTGTGCTTACATCTTCTAACGAGGGTTTTATTTGTCGTGTTTGTTTGTTTTTTTGCCCCCCCCCCGGGCCCGGCTCTCGGACCGAGGTGCTAATAAAGCCGACATCTGTCGCCGGGGATGGGATCGGCTTCTTGTTAACACGCTGCTTCCTTTAAATAAATAATTGTCCCCCCAAACCCGCCCTTCAATTATTCAATTATTAAAGCAAACTCCGGTGCCGGCCTGGGGGGTGATGGGGGAGCGTGAGGTGGCTTCGCAGCCGATGGAGGATGTCCCCAAGGAGATTCCCCCCTCCCTGGTCCCCCATCCCCGCCAATCCAGTTCTCCCAGTACGGATAATGGTGCAGCATCCCGGTCTCCCATTAAACCCCCAGCTCTCTCGTGTGGGGATTTTCCTCTTTCCTGTCTCCCCCCCACCCAAAAAAATAATATTCTCCATCCTACAAGGGTGATGCCTCACAGGGGAGACCCTTCCCCTTCCCCTTATCCCCCCATTCCCCCCCCACAAGGTCCAGTGGTGCTTAATGTATTAATTTAATCATCTCCGCTCTCGGAAAACCAGGGAGAGGGAAGCGATTCCAGCCGTTCCCGTGCTGCTGGCGGGGGGAGAGGGATGTTTAAAGCGGAGAAAACCCTTCCTGAGGGGGCAGGGGGGGTTGTGGCTTCGTGCTTCGCCTCCTTCCTCCTCCTCCTCCTCCTCCTCGGGGTCGTGGCTGTCAGGTTCCTCCGGCGATGCTTTAATTATGCCCAGGACCTGGTAGAAATGTGGTTCCTGGCACGTTCCACCCAGCGGGAGCCCCCCCAGGGGAGGATTTCGGGGGGGGGGATGGAGACGGGGGTTTGCAGGGCGATGGTTATAACGGCCATAAAACACCCAGGCAGCGCCGAGTGCCGTGGCCCACGGGCCATAAAGCACAGGTAACGAGCCCCGGGGCCACCGCGGGGTGGCTTTAGGGGGGGCTGGGGGTTTGGGGGAGCCCCTCTGGCTCCCTCCTGCAATGGGGAGAGCGGAGCGGGGCTGGGAGGGGAGGCTGCTTCTCCAGGGGTCGCTGAGGGAACTGCCTGACACCGGGATCGCTGAGGAATCCTGGGATCACCACGGGACCCCGGGATCACTCCTGGACTTCAGGATCACCACGGGACACTGGGATCACCATGGGACCCTGGGATCGCTGTGGGACACTGGGATCACCACAGGACACCGGGATCATCACAGGACCCCGGGATCACTCCTGGACCCAAGGACCACTCCTGGACTCCAGGATCACCACTGGACACTGGGATCACCATGGGACCCTGGGATCACAATGGGACCCCAGGATCACTCCTGGACCCTGGGATCACCACGGGACACCAGGATCACCACGGGACCCTGGGATCACTGTGGGACACTGGGATCGCTGTGGGACCCTGGGATCAACATGAGACCCTGGGATCACTGTGGGACCTTGGGATCACTGTGGGATCCTGGGATTAACGTGAGACCCTGGGATCACTGTGGACCCTGGGAGCAACATGAGACCCTGGGATCACTGTGGGACACTGGGACCACCATGGGACCCCGGGATCACTGTGGGACCCTGGAATCGCTTCCTGACCCTGGGATCACTGCAGGACCCTGGGATCACTCCTGGACCCCGGAATCACCACGGGACACAATGGGACCCCAGGATCACTCCTGGACCCTGGGATCACCACGGGACACCAGGATCACCACGGGACCCTGGGATCACTGTGGGACATTGGGATCGCTGCGGGACCCTGGGATCACTCCTGGACCCCGGAATCACCACGGGACCCTGGGATCACCACGGGACCCTGGGATCACTGTGGGACACTGGGATCGCTGTGGGACCCTGGGATCGCTGTGGGACCCTGGGATCAACATGAGACCCTGAGATCACTGTGGGACCCTGGGATTGCTGTGGTACCTTGGGATCACTGTGGGATCCTGGGATCAACGTGAGACCCTGGGATCACTGTGGGACCCTGGGATCGCTGTGGGACCTTGGGATCGCTGTGGGATCCTGGGCTCAGCATGAGCCCCTGGGATCACTGTGGGACCCTGGGATCGCTGTGGGACCTTGGGATCGCTGTGGGATCCTGGGCTCAGCATGAGCCCCTGGGATCACTGTGGGACCCTGGGATCGCTGTGGGACCTTGGGATCGCTGTGGGATCCTGGGCTCAGCATGAGCCCCTGGGATCACTGTGGGACCCTGGGATCGCTGTGGGACCTTGGGATCGCTGTGGGATCCTGGGCTCAGCATGAGCCCCTGGGATCACTGTGGGACCCTGGGATCGCTGTGGGACCTTGGGATCGCTGTGGGATCCTGGGATCAACGTGAGACCCTGGGATCGCTGTGGGACAATGAGATCACCACGGGACCCCGGGATCACTGTGGGACCCTGGGATCACTCCTGGACCCTGGGATCGCCATGGGACACTGGGATCACTGTGGGACCCTGGGATCAATGTGGGACCCTGGGATCACTGTGGGACCCTGGGATCAATGTGGGACTCCAGGATGGCTGTAGGACCCTGGGATCACTCCTGGACCCTGGGATCACTGTGGGACACTGGGATCACAGTGGGACCCTGGGATTGCTGTGGGACCCTGGGATCAACGTGAGACCCTGGGATCACTGTGGGACCCTGGGATCGCTGTGGGACCTTGGGATCGCTGTGGGATCCTGGGATCAACGTGAGACCCTGGGATCACTGTGGGACCCTGGGATTGCTGTGGGATCCTGGGATTAACGTGAGACCCCGGGATCGCTGTGGAACCCTGGGATCAATGTGAGACCCTGGGATCACTGTGGGACCCTGGGATCACTGTGGGACCCTGGGATTAACGTGAGACCCTGGGATCGCTATGGGACCCTGGGATCACTCCTGGACCCTGGGATCACCATGGGACACTGGGATCACCACAGGACCCTTGGATCACTGTGGGACATTGGGATCACTGCGGGACCCTGGGATCACTCCTGGACCCTGGGATCACTGCGTGACACTGGGATCACTGCAGGACCCTGGGATCTCTGTGGGACCCCGGGATCAACATGAGACCCTGGTGTGGGACCCTGGGATCAATGTGGGACTCCAGGATGGCTGTAGGACCCTGGGATCACTCCTGGACCCTGGGATCACTGTGGGACACTGGGATCACAGTGGGACCCTGGGATTGCTGTGGGACCCTGGGATCAACGTGAGACCCTGGGATCACTGTGGGACCCTGGGATCGCTGTGGGACCTTGGGATCGCTGTGGGATCCTGGGATCAACGTGAGACCCTGGGATCACTGTGGGACCCTGGGATTGCTGTGGGATCCTGGGATTAACGTGAGACCCCGGGATCGCTGTGGAACCCTGGGATCAATGTGAGACCCTGGGATCACTGTGGGACCCTGGGATCACTGTGGGACCCTGGGATTAACGTGAGACCCTGGGATCGCTATGGGACCCTGGGATCACTCCTGGACCCTGGGATCACCATGGGACACTGGGATCACCACAGGACCCTTGGATCACTGTGGGACATTGGGATCACTGCGGGACCCTGGGATCACTCCTGGACCCTGGGATCACTGCGTGACACTGGGATCACTGCAGGACCCTGGGATCTCTGTGGGACCCCGGGATCAACATGAGACCCTGGGATTATTGTGGGACCCTGGGATCAACGTGAGACCCTGGGATCACTGTGGGACCTTGGGATTGCTGTGGGATCCTGGGATCAATGTGAGGCCCTGGGATCACTGTGGGACACTGGGACCACCATGGGATTCTGGGATCACTGTGGGACCCTGGGATCACTCCTGGACCCTGGGATCACCATGGGACACTGGGATCACCACGGGACCCTTGGATCACTGTGGGACACTGGGATCACTGCGGGACCCTGGGATCGCTGTGGGACCCTGGAATTGTTTCCTGACCCTGGGATCACTGCAGGACCCTGGGATCACAGTGGGATCCTGGGATTGCTGTGGGACCCTGAGCACGCAGATCTGGGACCAGCACGTAGGGCAGACCAGGATCCATCCCGCCCGGTCCCCAGGGGCTGTGGGATGGGGTGACATCAGGGACGCGCTCGGGATGAAACGTCACAGCGAAGTGAAACCCTCGGGTGTCCTGGCAGGGCTCTCCTTCCTAATCGTCCTTATTTGCCCAGGCCTAATTCATAAATCAGCAGGCGCGAGTAATTTCCCCAGGAGAGCGTTTAGACGGGAGATTGAATGAGTAATTTACTGGGAACATTAAGACGGCACCAGATAACTTATTTATGAGAACTTTTTGACAGATCTGCCACTCAATAATTTATGCCGCGCAGCATTTAGTCAGGGTCACCAGTAAATAATTCACTTATTATAAACTATAGAAGGTTTTATGAGACGCTGAATTATTATCTCGCACCGGATTCGGGGCCGTAAGTGTGAAACCGATGATGCCCCCCGGTAACGGAGGTGTCCCTGGATGGGGTGTGCTGAGACCCGACGCTCGGTGCAGGGGTGTCTTTTGGTCCTGCCCAGGTGCTGGGGGGCTGCTGGTCTCCCCCCGCCTCCATGGGCTGTGGTGGCCTTTGGGAGGAAGAGTCGTTGCCCCATTTTTGGGGCAGTTTCATGTGCAAGAGATGAGGAAACCGGGTTTCACGTCGCATCCCTGAGGGACTTTATTTCCCCCTGGGGAAACTGAGGCAGGGGACACCCTCCCCACCCCGAGTCCAGGCTCCTCACCACCATGGGGATGGTCCCCGTGGAGCGGTGATGCCGGGGGGCTCGCACCCCATGGGGCCCCCCTGAGCTTCCCCTGGCTTCGTGGCTTTGTCCCTGGTCACGACGTGGACGGCGACCACCAGAATCAGCAGTGGCCCGAAGATGGTGGCCACCAGCCACCCCTTCACCACGCAGTAGTGGTCCCACACCCCGCACCTCCCCGTCCCCCCTCCGCCTCCTGGGGGCTGCCCCCCACCTTCACCCTGGGTGGTGGCATCTCCAGCACAGGGCTCGGTTGTCCCCCAGGGTCCCACCGTGCTCCCGTTGTGTCTTCTGCTGTCACCGGTCCCGGTTGAGCCATCTGTGGACACAGGGCATGGCGTGAGTCACGGGGCCACCAGCTACTTTGGGGACAGGGGACGTTGTGGGGGGGTGTCTGGGTGCCACCGAGGCCGGGTGCAGCGAGTGCATCAAAAGAGGAAGGAGAATTTCTCCACCAACCACATGCCCATCCTGGGCTCCTCCCCACAGTTAAGGGGGGGGGAAACGGTGGGATGGGTGGGGTTGGGACTGGGGACCCCCCCGCAGTGACAGCCCACCCCCCTTGGGGACACTCTGAACCCAAGCCCGGTTCCTCCATGACCCTCCTCCCTCCATCCTTGGACTCACCATAAACCAGCAAGAAGTAGGAAAAGGTTTTCGGGTTGGTGGGGTCGGAAAAGGTGTCCACCACCACGTTGTAAAACCCGCTGTCCTCCAGCTCCAGGGGTCCCATCTCCAGGGAGAGGTTGGTGGGGTGGATGAGGAGCCGCCCTCGGAAGCGGGGCAGGTAGTCGACGGTGAACACCTTCTGCTTGGGCTTGGCCTCGGCGATGTGGGTCTCCTGGGTCCTCCATGTGACCCTCGCGATGTCCCCAGAGGTGGAAAGCAGGGCTGGGAAGGAGATGGACCGTCCCTCCAGCCCCCTCAGCACCTCGGTGCCACCACAGGGATGCAGACCTGGGAGGCAGTGGCTGCCATGAGATGGTTTTGAGGAGGTGGGGGGGACACCACATCCGTGGCCATCACAAGGGTGGTCTCCACCTCCTCCCCCTCTCCAAAATAAAGCACCCCGAAGCATCCCTAGGGATGCAGCCAGGATGCTCCAGGCATCCCAGCCCTGCCCACCCCAAACTGTTGTGTCCCCCCCCCAGCCCCACGAGCATCCTTACCCCCGGCTGCTGCCACCAGCACATAGAAGAGAAGCGTGGTCCTCTCTCCGGCCATGTCCCCTCCTTCCTGGGGCTGAACGGACTCTGTGGTCCCCAAACAGCCCCACAGGAGCAGGAAACCCCCCCCACACACCCCCCACCCTCACCCTGAGACTGGAGGAGAGGGATTGTACAAGGCTCCGGGAAGGACAGGGGTGCTCCTGGGGGTGAGGGAAGCGGTGACTTGGTGGATGGGATGGGCTTCATGGAGGAAGTAGTGGCAGATGGTGTTCTTCAAGACGTGCCAGGGCCTGGTTCTGCCCCGGGATGGGTGGGAGAGGAAGGGGCAGCTCCCATTTTGCCCCCCTCCCCATCCCTGGTACCTTCTGCAGATGATGCATAACCCAGTGGGGGCGATGGGACCGGTGGCAGAGGGGACACAGGGGTTTAAGAACCTGCTTATGGGGTGCCACCAGCCAGGGGACACATAGGGGGTCATTCCTTTACTCATCCCAGTTTTTATCCCATCGGAGCCAACTGGGAACACACCTGCCCCCCGACAGAGGGGGAATTTTAGCTGGGGTTTGAGATGGGGGGGGGGCTCAGGAGCTGTGTGAGATATTTTTGGTGGGTACAAACCCACTTCCCACAGGATGCCACCCCCGCACCACCCGTCCCCAAATCCCACCCAAACCCGGTGGCTTCCACCCAGTTATCGCTTCCCCCGGTGACCTGGGACCAGTAGGGAGCTCAAACCGGGACAAGGGGGGGCTGGGGGACCCCAGGA